ATAAAAATGAAAGTGAAAATTATAAGATGAAATTTGATTAAATAAAAAGATCATTTATAATTATACTGTAAGTTTTGGTAATGATGGTAATATATATTCTGTTTCATCAATTGTTTCTTCTCTTTCTTGTACTAAATCTGAAACTTTAATTTTATCAAATGTTTTAATTTTATTATAACTTCCATCTAAATTAATATGACATAAACTTATTTCATATTCATTTGATTTTGTTTGATTAAATACATAATATATTTCTGCTACATAATAATTTTTATTACTATATGTATAAACATATTCATCACTTGAATTTGAGTTACAACAATATTTCATTATTGCTGAACAATCAATTGATTTTCTTCCAAATGAAATAAATAAATTATTTTGTTTGAGATTATAAGTTTTATCATCATAATAAAAATGATGATTAAAATTTGTGAAAGGAACAACAGATTCAAATTTTACTTCTTCATTTCCATAATTAATTATTTGTTTTACAATAATACCATTAATAACTTTATTATTTTCTGTTATTCCTTTAGGAATATTATTAATTTTATCATTAATATAAGAATTTAAACCTTTCATTTTTATTATTGTTTCTTCATTAAAATAAAGTGGTGAATATAATGTTTCATTAACAAGAGAAGATAAAGATATTAATTGAGATGTTAAATTATTAATTTCATTCATATTTGTTGTATTTAATGTTATTAATTGTGATACATCATCTCTAATATCATCAATATATATATTTGTTTCTTTCATTTTCTCTTTTATTTCATCAATTTCATTATTTGATAGAATATCTTTAACATTAATTGTTGTCATTCCATCTGATGATTTAATTGTATCAAGATAAATTGTATTATTATTAAAATATCTTGTTGTTAAAATATTATTTTTATTTAAATATTTTGAACCAATTGCTTCCATTTAATAATGTAAATTAAGTTCTAAGATAAAATATTCATCCCAAATTCCAAGTGGCATAATAATATTTCCTTTATAATCTTTAAACCATATTTCTATTGAAGTTATATTTTTATTAATATTAAAATGTTTTGGTGTCATATTTCCATATGTTGAAAAACATATCATTTGATCATTTTCAGGTGAATCATAATTAAATGAACCATGACAACTAACACCAATATCTAATTGACCATTCAAATTAAAATAAACAAAATTCAATACTTCTATTGTTTTAGGATAATTTTCAGAAGTAATAAATTCCCATGGTAAATTCACTTTCCAT